ATATATATATATATATATATATATATATATATATATATATATATATATACATACACAAGTACGTGCGTACATATACTTATTCTAAAAATTATTACATACAGGGTGTCCCGCCACTACTGCATTATTTCTTAAGGACGGATTCCTGAGGTAATTTGAAGAAAAAAATCCTAATGCAAAAATATCCATGCTATAATACTTTTCAAATTATAAACGATTGAAGTTGGCCAATTATATTGGCTAAAGTACGTGCACTTAGATACGATACAACATACAATAGTACAGGTGCATGCACATAAGTGAGAATTTGCATAAGATATGAAATTATTTGTAAATCCTTGAAAGAAACGTCAAATGTGTGACAGCTTACTGATTCTCATAAATATATTGTGTGATATTTTACTCATAACATTTTGACGAAATTGTTATTATTTGCGATATGTTTATTTAAATGATAGAAAAGGCAGATTATTATTACATATATTGTTGTATGTATAGAACTTCCGTATCAATATTTGGAAAAGGGACGACATGTGCATGCACTTGTACCATTGTGTGTTGTATCGTATTTGAACGCGCGTATTTTAGCCTTTATAATTGGTCAACTTTAATCGTTTATAATTTGAAAAGTATTATAGCCTCGCTATTAGGATTTTTTTATTCAAATCACCTCAGGAATCCACCCTCAAGAGATAATGCAGTAGTGACGGGATACCCAGTAGATATACAGGGTGTTTCTTAATTTTCGCTCACGAAGTAAATAGCGTTATTCCTTATGAAAAATTAAATCGAAAAATCCTGAACCATTTTTGTTTTTGATGCTTAACGAAGCAGATATTCTTTAATAAATTTCAGCAAATCCGCGTCATCTTTTAGAAGTATACACGTCTGTGAGCCGCGCCCTTGGTAATATGCATGAATGTTTCGCCGCTGTATTCACGCATACTACCAGGCACGCGGCTCACAGTGTATACTTCTAAAGGACGGCGCGGATTTGCTGAAATTTATTAAAGAATATCTACTTCGTTAAGCAGCAAAGACAAAAATGGTTCAGGACTTTTCGATTTAATTTTTTTATAAGGAATAACGCTATGTACTTCGTAGGCGGAAGTTAAGAAACACCCTGTATATATATATATATATGTTCATATATAGCGTGTTCAAAAAAGGTCGGGACCCTGAAATATCTCAAAAAAAGAGTTATAGAAAATTTTCAGATAAAAGTTATAGGGTTTTAAAAAATTTATTTATTGACCTTATTAATTTGATCTTGTATGATGTTGCCAAGATTAGGTAAGGGCCATTTTGAAATTTTTAAATAGCAACCCCCATTTTTTATTGCATATTCTTATAGCTTACCCCAAGTGCTTTTAAAAACACTATAATAAATTTTCATTACACACTTTATTCTTACCACACACTTTTTGAGTAATAAAGTTTGAAAGTTACAGAAGATATTCAGCCAGTGAAAGTAAAATAGCTATCCGGTCAGTGAAGGTAAAATAGTCAGTTATCCGGCAAGGCAAGATAGACAGCTGTCCGGCTAGTACTAGTTTTATTTTTTCTCTTTTTAATATTATCGAAACCTTTCGTTCATGAAGATAAGGATTAAAAAGGGACAGCATCCTAATGATTGAAGGATCCCTCATCCGCGGGGAAACGCGCTTATCTGTCGCAAGTACTAACCGGATAGCAGACTATCTTGCCTTCACTGGCTGGATAACTTCTATAACTTTCAAACTTTATTATTCACAAAGTATGTAATGAGAAAAAAGTTTGTAATAAAAATTTTTTATAGTACTTTTAAAAGCATTTGGGATAAGCTATAAGAATGTGCAATAAAAAATGGGGGTTGCTATTTAAAAATCTCAAGGTGATTTTTACCTGATCTTGGCAACGTCATATAAGGTCAAATTAATAAGGCCAATAAATACATTTTTAAAACTCTATAACGTTTATTTGAAATATTTTTTTATAACTCTTTTAGTTTTCAGGTTCCGACCTTTTTTGAACACTTTGTTTATATACACATGTACACACAGACACACATATATAGAAGCTTACAGTGACTTTTGTATATACATATGTACGCAATCCGTAGTTGAAACAAATAAACAGATCGAGTATCACTTCGCCGAGCTCCATCTGTGTTAGTCGTACGGACACACTGATACGACAGGTTCTGTGTTCAAACTGGTTTTACGAATATGAACTGTGATATAATGTAGAATTACCAGGTGAAGCTTTACCAGTTAATCATTGGCCACGACCAAGCAACGATCGAATCTTTCGAATGGAACCCTCTTTTTATCCATCCATATTTCTCGTCCGCGACACAGCCAACGTTTTAGGATTATAAACGCTTGTTTTATATTTTTCTCTCCTTTTAATACTATTGAAACTTCTCGTTCACAAAGAGAAGGATTAAAGAGAGATAGTAGTGATTGAAGGATCCTTCATCCGCGGAGAAACGCGCTTATCTGTCGACAATCAGTGCTGAAACTCGAGACGTAATGTTGTTCAAAAATGTCATTCAGTTCTCGCGTCATGTCACCAGAAACGTTCGCAGGAACTATCAAGTTTCTGTCAATTCTTTCTGCAAGGCGAGTAGAAAGGACGACAACACCAAAGAAAACACGGATATATTACCGCGGATTCTCATAACAGGTGAGTTGCGTCCGGTTCCAATTGATCCTTGTCGTCTCTCCCTTCTTTAGGGTTAATAAATCGTCTGATTGACGGCGATCAATATTAATGTGATGGAAAGTGAATTTGATTTATATTTAATTTGTATTTGCATCTTACGCTTTTCTTATCTAATGTTTGGAATTTAGAAATTATTGAAATAGTTGAAACTTAAAAGATTTCTTAAAAATTTATTTGAAAAATGGAAAATCAAATTCGCGGCAGAGTTTAACAATGGACGAATAGTTAATTAGTCATTCGATGTAGCTTATCTTTCCTCGTCGAAATTTTAATTTTACTTTTGACTTCAATATTCTATTTAAAACATTCTTTGATACTTTAAAGCCTATCAATCGCTTTTAATTCTATTTAACCTATTAATTTTGCCAAGAGATCTTCTTTAGAATTTCCATCAAATTTTCTAACAGCTGTATATTCTGAAGGATCAATATATATTTAATTTTAGAAATATCAAGTTATGTAAACTCTAAACACGGGTAAATCTTATCCAATGTATTTTTATTTGCTTATAATTTCCGGAAAAATTGTCGAAATTAAATCTTTTTCTTCCCATCAGTGTAGGAAACTAGAAGTTCATTGTAAAAAGCTTTGAAAAACATCAAGAATAATCTATTAATGTTTTTACGCAGTGAAGTTGAAAAAAGTTATAATGGGAGAACAAAATATAATTTTTAAAACGTTAACATTTGAAACGTGAGTAGCAGAAAACATATATATAGGATAGATAATAAAAAGAATCTTTTGATAATAAATTAAATAATATTAAAAGAGATTAATACAGATATTAGAGTAACCTATCAAAGTAGGTGTTAAATGAAATATATTGAGGTTAAAAGTAGGATCAAAATTTCAAAGACTGATCCTTCAAAATATGCAGATATTAAAAAGTTCGAAAGTAACATTAAAATGTCGACTCAGGTCATTTTACTATTAAATCGTGCTTTGCATATGGAGCAAATATTGTGGTAAAGTTAAATTAAAATCATATTTCATTTTACAATATTTCTAGTAAACCTGGGATATACTGATTTATATTGTACTATAAATTACCAAAAGAATAGTAAATTTCTCGATATCTGATATATGACATAAAAAAATTAAAGTAATTACAATAATTTTGTAGTGAAAAGTCAAATGTGCATCCAACATCCTGAAACAAATAATAACTTCAGTCATAATTCTGTACATTGTAAGATTACAAAATTTTGTTGTAATTTTTCCTACAATATGTTTTCCTTGAACGTTGTGCTTCTAATCTGATTGCACGTTTCTCGCAAAAGACTTACGATTTGCGACTGTAATGCTGCACGATATACCGATAACATTTCATATGCAAATCCCCACGTTCAGCCGATCGCGTTATCGCAGAATGCGTGGGAAAGTGTTACAAGGTTGAAACATCGCACACGCATTTAGCGCGACCTAAGACCAGCGGGGTTAGGTTTTCTTCTTCTTTGTCGTTGTTCGTCATCCAGTGAAAACTCTCACGCGTCCCCCCACCTGTTCTTCCTCGCGTTTTTCTCGTGCGCAGGCGGCCTCGGACAATTGGGCACGGAATGCGCGAAAATGCTGCGACGGCATTACGGTAACGAGAACGTCATACTGTCCGACATCATCAAGCCGACGGAGGAGAGCCTGGCGTGTGGGCCCTTCATCTTCGCCGACATCCTGGATTTCAAGGGTCTCCAGAAAATCGTCGTCGACTACAGAATTGACTGGCTCATCCACTTCAGCGCTCTGCTAAGCGCGGTCGGCGAACAGAACGTGCCCTTAGCGGTCAGAGTCAATATCGAAGGTAAGGAAGAGCAATATGATTGAACAATTATTCGGGTTCCATCGGAAAATTTCGCGTTCTTGCAAACAGCAGAAATTATATTAACGAGTTATATTAACGAGTCTTCACATGACGAACTTAACGAAAGTTAATTGGCATGTTCAAGAAATACATTGACACAAGTCTACTTTCAAAATTTTTTCTAGCAGAATTTTATTCGAAAAATAAAGGATCAGCATGTCATTTGAATTTGAGTGGCTTTTTACTAATACAGAATAAATTTCCAACTCTGTGTGAATCATTGAGTGAATATTTTTACTTATAATTGAAGAATGAATTTGATATATAATCGGTTTGCACACATTTTTTATTGAATGATATTATAGATTGCATTAATAGAAATTATCGTTACTTGAAATTTGTATGTCTCAAGTGAGACATTTTCAGACTTGAATTTAGAGTTATATTGAGTAACTTACAGTGTTACTTACAGAATTTAAAGTTATATTGAGTAACTTACATTGAGTAACTTACAGTGTTACTTACATAGTTACAGTGAGTTTGTCAGCTGAGTTGCAATTACAGATATATCATGAATATCATATGATTTAAATACAAAAATTCTGACTAACTTAAAATTCTAAATAACTTAAAATTCAGATTTAAGTATTTCATGTGAAACAAATTTCTAGTAAGAATTGTTAGTACGGACCTGAAAACTACTACTGATATGTATGCGCAGTAATTGGTTATAACAGGAGCGGACGTGATAAATATTAAAATAAAAAAGAAAAATAAATCAATGTAACAAATAAAATTGATAAATTTAATTGTCGTCTTTTGTGCTGAAAAAAGAGAAAGGTTATCTTAATATTTATTTGTAATGACAGGAGTCGAAGAGATAGTATAGAGTGTGACATTTATGAAAAAAAGAACTTATTTTAAATTTAGAGAACACATGTTATTTTGAGAAATAATTTTTATCTATTTATAACCGATTACTGCACATAGATAATTTTTATATATTTATAACCGATTACTGCGCATACATGTAAATAGTGACTTTTAATTTTGACAGCTTGAAACGTTGCAACTTCATTCGAAAATATTTCATTTGAATTATATGATATTTGTGTTATTTATAATTACAATTCAACCGAAAAACTCGCATCTAACTTTAAATTCAGACCTGAGTATCTCACTTAAGACAAGTTTCAAATAACGATTATTAATACAGACTTTAATTCTGACAATTTTCCAAAATCATTCGATAAAGAAAAGTGTGCAACTCGATTTGTAATCGACTATACTTCACTATCATATGATATATTCACTCTAATAGATTGAAACATTTAGAGTCAGAATCTACCTTAAGCTTTAGTAAAATATTCACTCTTGCGATTTTGAGCGGCAGTATTTTCACTATTGTTTCAAGTAATACTATCACTTTTTTGAGTGAGATTCCATTTCAAGAAATTTAGAGAATAAGTTTTCTCTTAAAACTTCTTTAATATTAAACATTTTTAAAGTCGAAGAAACGGACAGAGACATACATGTGTGTATTCATTTCGATCTCCACAAATTTCTCAACGCGTCAATTATGAGAAACCAAAGCGCATGTGTACGCAATTATGTTGCGCAGCAAAAATTTACCAGAGCCTTGGATTATTGTCCACACGTACGAGCGAAAGTACTTGATGGTTGCCGTTGATGGTTATCCTTCCTAAACGATCACATCAGTATCCGCATTAGACGTCGTGTTAGCTTCAATAAAATCTCTCTCATATGTTTGCAACACGATTCCTTCGAACCAATATTGTTCTTGTAATAATTTATCGTTGATCAACAAACTATGCTGGCGCAACGCTTTTGACGAAACGTCGGTCGTTCTTATTTTTTTCTTCTTTTTCCATACACGCACGGTTTCCTGTAAGTCACGTCCGAGTGAAATGGAATGCTGCGCCAACAAGCAACGAGCTAGTTATTGCGTTGATAATTACATCGCAAACGCGCTTAGGGAAGAAAGTACTTGGGAGAAAGCGGATGAGTCGTACGATTAGAATGTCATAAATAGTGTCGCGCGCGTTTTTAAATTTTCTTTTACGATTTACAAACGATTTATACAAACGAGAACTGCACAACAATCTTTCTGGAAATCTGGAAAGCATCACATCATTATGAAATAATGTTCTGTTTTCAAAGCCAACGAGGTTCAGTCGAAAGCAATTTTTTCCCATCTGTCTCTGAGGAGACTTGGTTCCGGTAACCTTGTCCCAAAAAATAATACACCGAAATTCATGACAATTGCTTGAAAAATCATGATACGCAATTCCGGATATATTTAAAACAAAATCACTCGAAATACAACTTTTCTAAACTAATTATTAATTATATTATAATTAATAAACAAAATAAAATAACTTGTAGATGTATTACAATGTGTACGTTATAAAAATATATGTAATATATAAAATAAAATAGTATTATATGATAATTTTGTAGTACACACACATTATATCGCTGCACACCGCAAATTCAAGTGTATTATTGTAACTAAATTTCTTTTTGCATGTTTCTTACTGTTTTAAGTCACGCTATTTAACACTGTTTAACGCTGTTTAATTATATTAAATTAATAATAATCAAAATACTTTAGAATTAATAACAATTAAAATAATTTATGTCTTTAAATGTATTAAATGACGTGGCTCAAAACGATCAGAAACGTGTGAAAAAAGCTTCAGTTAGATCGCATGTTTTTATGCATATAAAAATAACACAATTATATTTATAGAGTATACTGATTTTGGTATAGCAACTTTTTAAAACAATTACATACTTCCAAGTCATTTCAGGAGATTGTCTCAGTGTCCAGACTTCGGGGTTATTTCCAGAAAATTTTCAGGAAATTGTTCAATTACTCGAATTTTCACTTTTCTAATGCATGATCTTTTCTTCGCTCTCTGGTCGTTCGTCAATTTTTGAGAGTCTTCTATTATTCGATATCGTAGGTATGCACAATGTCATCGAGCTGGCAAAGCAGTACAAGCTGAGAATCTTTATTCCATCAACGATCGGCGCGTTCGGACCGGACTCACCTAGGAATCCCACGCCGAACGTCACGGTGCAAAGACCGCGCACCATCTATGGCGTCAGCAAAGTGCACGCTGAACTCTTAGGGGAGTATTATCACCATCGGTTCGGCCTTGACTTCCGATGCCTTCGATTCCCCGGAGTAATCAGTAGCGATCCACCTGGCGGTGGCACCACTGGTGAGGACCAACACTTTACGTTTTATTTTTATCAATCAGTAAAACACGGTTGCCCGACATATAGCGACACAAAGACGTGCCCTTATTGGAGTTTCTACCAGATAGCATATATGTCTGAGATGTACTTTAGAGGTATTTAAGAGACTTCTAAAGCAAGTAAGATATCTTTTAGACGCCTCTATGTCAGTAATCGTTACTTGAATCTTGTCTTAAGTCACGTAAGATACTCAGATCTGAATTTAAAGCTAAATTTGAATTTTTTTTAGTTGAATTATATAATATATGCGGCATTATATTTGTAATCATGAAAGCTAAAGAATTCACATCTAATTAAATTCATATATGAGCGTTTCATTTGAAGAGAGGGTAAATATTCCGTATAAGAGACCCAGCTCCAATCACTTTGATTTTGAGATGTTATCAAGGACATCATCCTGAGTAACCTTCAAGTGGTTTTAGTCGGGGGTCATTGTTTGTTAAAAAGTTATTAGTGTGATAAAAAAATAATTTTATGTCAAATCAAATGTCCAAAGTGTAAAAACGTTGTGCAACAGCAAACTGCAAACCATAATTTGATGTTTCACTGTACAAATAAACATTATAAAGTAACGCACAAAAAAAGACAAAGAGTAACATGTAATTTTAAATTATCTATGTTACATGGAACTTGGTTTGCACATTTTAAATTAGGATTGCAAAAGGCTTGCCGTTTTATCGGCTACTTTATAATAATGAAACAACCATCTCAGTCTTTTCTGGAGCAAGAACTACAAATGAGTTCTGAAAGTGTAGTTGACTGGAAGAATTATTGTCGTGAGGTAACAATTATATTTTTTCAAGATATTAATATAATTATGATTTTTCTATCTTTTATATTTTTGTCTCTCATTACTAGTTGTTGTCAATGTGGCTTATGAAAAATAATACTAAAATTGGTGGTCCTGGACATATAGTAGAAGTTGATGAAGCGAAAATTGGAAAACGGAAATATAATCGTGGACGAATTGTTCGAGGACAATGGGTATTTGGAGGATTTGAACGTGAAACTAAACACGTATTTGTTGTACCAGTACCTGATCGTTCAGAGACAACACTTTTAGATATTATACGTTGTCGAATTGCGCCAGGAACTACCATTTATACCGATTGCTGGCGCGGATACTCAAATTTAAAGAAAGAAGGTTTTGATCATTTTACAGTCAATCATTCAGAAAATTTCGTAGATCCAGTAACAGGAGTACACACGCAAAATATTGAACGTTTGTGGCGTGACATGCGAGGAGCAATACCTCGTTATGGGATTAAAGAATATCATTATAATTATTATATAGTAGAATTTTTGTTTAAACGACTTTATACTTATTCTGATCGAATCGATAAATTTTTCGAAATTATGGCAGAGATGTATCCACTAAATAACTAAATGAGTGAATAAATTCTTAAATACTTTAATTCTTAAAATATGGTAATACATGCTTTAATTTTTTAAATAAGATGAACAATATACCTGTATGCTCGTGCGATGGGTGCGTATGTTGCTATTATATATACATATGCACCCACCACGAGCCCGCCCTGTCGGGCGGGCGAGCACACGGGCGGCTAAGCAGTGTGTGTGTGTGTGTGTGCGCATTTAATTTTGTATATTGTATAGTGTGTGCTACACACACACACACACTGCTTAGCCGCCCGTGCGCTCGCCCGCCTGACAGAGCGGGCTTGCGGTGGGTGCATATGGTGCTATTTTATAGCGCACAGGTGGCCAAGCAGTGTGTGTGTGTGTGTGTAGCAGGCATTTTCCTAGCTTACAGTTTTTGTATATGCGGTGTCTAAAAATAACATTCATTTTATAGAACTTTTGTTAATAACTTTTTAACAAACAATGACCCCCGACTAAAACCACTTGAATGTTACTCAGGATGATGTCCTTGATAACATATCTCAAAAGCAAAGTGATTGGAGCTGGGTCCCTTATACGGAATATTTACTGCCCACGTGAATGTCCGTTGCGTTATCAGGTCCAGGAAATTCTGCGAGTATTTCTATGACAGCGAACACTCGAGATATAAAAAAGATGATGCGCAATCACAGTCGTATGTTTGAAAGAGAAAGAAGTACGCATCAAGCGCAAGAAATCGAGTTTACAGAAATCCTCGTGATGAGGATAAGGTAAATATTCGCTTGATGCGTACTTCTTTCTCTTTCAAACATACAACTGTGATTGCGCATCATCTTTTTTATGTCTCGAGTGTTCGCTGTCATAGAAATACTCGCAGAATTTCTTGGACCTGACAACGCAACGGACATTCACGTGGGCTTCGGCTCTCCCGATTCGCAAGCGAGATAATCGTCTTCGTGCTTGGGGGACGCTTAATATCGCGCTACGGTTTTTCCACGGAAATAGACTGACAACTGAAAATTGATAGTGCCTCTCTTCTTCTTATTTCTCCTCTCTTTTTTAATGCGCGCGTTTAGAGTCGCGGAGGTGGGCATCTGTTTCGCGAGCAACTGGAGCATTAACCGCGATTAAGGTAACTGCATAATGACGGAATGTATCGTCTCTCAAGGACAATGCTACCGGAAAATTATGCGGCGAGTCTTGATCGCCGGTTCGTGAGGTCGCCTTTTGCGTTTTCCTCAACTTCCGATGCATAAAGCAATCGGTAAAAACATAGTCGTCAAAACACGATAAAAAAACGCGATAGTTTTTGTAAACACATCTATCACTTGATCATGCGTCTTCCTTTCGCACACGCGACAAGATCTCAATCGATCTCGTCGTCGTTGCCGCGCCTGCCATCGGAGAAAAACAGCATCTGATCGAACGAATTAATGAGGAAAAATAATTGTGATCTCCCTTCCAGCGCTCGAGAGTTGAACATTGATTAGGTTAAAAATACCGATGGCGCTGGTGATTTCATTGATCAATAGGAAGAAAAGAGAAAAATCAAGAAGTCGTTAAAGAAACCGGCGACTTTCTTCGAAAATGGCGTGCTGGAATTAGATTGTATTTTTTAATACTAGAATTACTAAAGCAATAAAAACGATGGGTTTGTAAAAATTGTTCAAATTTATAACGGTGTATTTTATATTTAGCTGACGTTGGTATGAAAGTAAAAAGAATAAAATGTAGGGAAAATCTGGGTTATGATTCTAGAGATATGTTGCTCATCCCATATAATACAAATGTTCAATAAATATCCTAAGAACGTTTTAAGAATATTCGAATATTCTTAGAATGTTCTTAGGATATTTATTGAACATTTGTACTATATGGAATGAGCAACATACCTCTAGGGCCATATAACCCAGATTTCCCTTACATGTTATTCTTTTTAGTTTCATCCTAACGTCAGCTAAATATAAAATACGAGTTATAAATTTGAACAATTTTTACAGAAAATTACGAACCCATCGTTTTTATTGCTTCAGTAATCTTAGGATATCTATTAAACATTTGTGCTGTATGGGATGTGCTTTCTTTAGTATTTATCTTGAGAGAAATAATAGATACAAAATTGTATAATGGTCCTTTTAGAACATTTTTCTCTGAGTTTCATAAATACTTTTGTCTGAGTTTCATTAATATCGCAATAATTACAATTAAGAAGTAGAAAAAACTGATTTAGCAATAGCAAAGTAAATTTTCAAACCTCTCGAAATTTTCTAATCTTTTTAATATTCTCTGTTGCGAATAAAATTAAGCGTTATGTTACTAGTTAGAGAATAAAATTTCTTTCAAGTATATGATATATTGTTTTTGGTAATAAATGCAATTTTTATTCATAAAATGATTGAAACAAACATATGGGCGGACGAAGTAAAGTTGGCCCATAATTAAGGGCCGGCAGGAAGGTGGAGACCTCTCGCGGAGACTCTGGAACTACTAATCAGAATATATATTTTATATATAGTCTTCTTTATCTTGCGCTATTGAACAACTGAATCCAATATCAAGACAAGATGACTATGTATGTTCATATTTTGATTATAAAACAAAATATACGGTATATAGAGTCGTGGTGGGCATAAATACATAAAAAAGATTGCCTCTATCATTTCTATAAAGTCAGTTATAACAATTGCCTGAAAAGTTGAAACTTCAAAATTATAAAATATAGGACATCTAACCCTTTTTCTTCCCTATTTGATAGATCCTTGAGATGTATAATCAAAGCAAAGCAGAAGAAGATAAAAAGCTGCGATAACATTGCGAATAGTTAATTACTCTTTTACATTGCGAATAGTTAATTACTCTTTAAACATTCTGTTTAATCGACGATTAATGTAAGCCAATTTCGTTGGAGACTGTTTAATTGACAATTGATTCCAACAAATTTAATTGTTAAACCACTCAATTGAAGATTGATTTCAAGAAATTCAATTAAAAACTGTTCAATTTTTATTTAAATTTTATTTAAAATTTAAATTAAAAAGTCATTTCAAATAAAAATTTGCTAAATTTAATCGTTAATTGAATCTTTTATTTCCTTAGCTTATATCAATCATCAATTAAACGGCCTTTAAATTAATTCGTTGAAATCAATCAATTAAGCATTCTTCGATCGATTTTGCTCGAATCGGTCGTCAATTAGTTATATTGAAATATGTTTGTTCAAAGCAGTTATTTTAAATTGAGGAACATTTAATTAATATTTTTACAATTTTAAGTCGCGATGTCTCTTATTTGGTCTTTCTTTTTAGATTAAAAAAGACCACTTTGATTAAAAAAGATAAGTACACTGAGAAAAAATACTTAAAAATTTATTTGTGAGATATAAAGTTTAGTTAGTTTTAAAATTAACGTTTTTAGTTCTAGTGTTAATCTTTCTTCTTTTGATTTTTGCAAGATTTTCTTTCCCTCGTTATGACATTCATGTTTGAAACATTATTGCAGATTATGCCGTAGCGGTATTCCACGAAGGACTGTTGAATAAAAGATATGAGTGCTACTTGGAGCCTAACACTAGGCTACCAATGATGTACATCGAAGATTGTCTGTCAGCACTTCTACAATTTCTGAACGCGCCTAATAAGCTGCTGCAGAGGCGGGTCTACAACGTAACAGCCATGAGTTTTACGCCCGAAGAACTGTTCAATGAAGTTTTCAAGTATATTCCGGACTTGAAGATCTCTTACAAACCTGACACGCGACAACACATTGGTATGTGTATATCCCATCATGTTATCGCGTTGAAAAAGTAAATGTGAAATAAAAATATCATTGTTATTCACCTTTTTAGCCGAGAACTGGCCACAAGTCTTCGACGACAGCGAAGCGCGACGGGACTGGGGCTGGCAACACAAATACAATCTGCAGAAATTGGTGGAGTCGATGGTGCGGGACGTTAGCATAAATTATCTACCGAAATTAGAACAGATCAACCAGTAGTATAATTGTACAAATTAGCATTTCGCGTACAATAATTTTACAAATTACAGACGCAGTATTTATTTTAAACTATTTTACGGTGACGCATTTTAAACAATGAACTTTTATGTGAGTAAAATTTAAAGAATATAAATAAATTCTTGATATATGATCTTATAAAAATATCATTCGTTGACTGCTGTTTACTCCATGTCCATGAATTCTGCGAGATCGTCATCGTTCAGTAATTCCGCAATGTTCACCGGAGTCATTTGAACGTCTCGTTTCGAGGGCGTTTGGTAACTTGTTCTTTGAACTTTTCTCAGAGGTGTGTCCGTTCCATCTGTGTTTCTCGAGGGTGTAGAGTATTTGTCGTTCCTCTTTGGTGTGCCAATGAAGTCCGTGTTTCTAGAAGGTGTAGAATATCTATCGTTTCTCCTTGAAGATCCACCTCCAGGAGTTCCAATTGTACTTTGAAGGAATTTATCTTTGTTATCTACATCTGTGAAAAAAGATTATATATATAATAAAATAAACTTCGCGTTCTTACGCTCTTTTTTTTACGATATTTTTTTTCTCTTTCCTTTTTTTACCTTTGGTAGCATTATCGTCGTCAGTTAAAATTACACGACTTTCAGCAAAGTATGCATTTGGATGCAGAAGTGGCTTGCTTGCCGGTTTGTTGTGCACAACTTCAAAGTACTTTGCGCACGCTAGATGATATTGTCCGTCTTTGGCCAAGTCTAGTATCTCAGTTGTATCTGAAGTACATTATTAATTGTAAGTCAAACGTTCAAACAATATATTATTCTTCTCAAAAGACAAAGAGAAAGAAACTAATTCTCTTACTAGAGGCAAATACACCATAACTGGTTAACTTTTGGCATAACGAGTCGCGATCCATGTGTCTGAAAGGACACCCATGATATTCTCCAGGTCCGACTGCGCTGGATATGATCTTCTGACAGCCGTATGGCGTGTAATTCGTTTGTCTTCCCTCCTTACCGAAGTAATGCCTGATAGAATAAGAATACTTCTTTTCAAACGCTGCCCCATCGGTTTTTTTCGAGAACGCATGGCTCCAGAAACGCAGAGCATCCTCTAAGGTTACGCCAATGCCTTTCAGGAATAAACCGTACTGCATACGTCCTGAATTTTTCAGATGACTATTGTTGCAAAGCGCCTCGTGAAGTGTCCTCATGCACAAAGGATAGGACGTCTTTGACAACTGAAAATTTTTTTTATCATGCACTTACGTGCCAAATGGAGCAAATTGAGATAAATTCGATTCCCAATTGGAATAATCAATACCTACATCATTTAGCTTATCAATGGGTGTTGCAGTGGTGGACCATACAACACGTGCCATCCCAGAGAAAGCTGAAGGAAGACCTGTTAAGTATCTGGTTAATCGTTCATCATCAGATATGTTATCATAAAGGATCTTGGCACTCTGCAGAGAACATAAACAAGAAATCAATTGAGTATTATTCAATTTCTCTGCTGAAATATATGTCATGCAAATCATGGAATATCATTGAAAGAGATATATACTTTTAATCCTGTGACTAGAATGTCTCTGAAATGCGAGACAAATACAGAAATTATGTCCATATGGGTGATATATGCCATTGCTGCTTTCAGATATATCTTACGTCCTCTCACTAAATCGATGACCTTTTCGAAATGCACCTTATAAATATCGGTGATATCAATATTTGTAACTTTTCCAGATGATAAACTGAGCTCTTCCTTCAACTCCAGTTTCTCATCTTGTGAAATCTGAAGAATTATTCAAATTAGTTTGTATATTTCATATAATCCCACTGACTACATTGTATATTATAATTCAACACACAGGCACGCAATCCAAGTTGTTAATGCTTAGTAAGTGTTCAACACCTTTCTTGTCTAACGAACTAAATCTTAGTTTAAAGAATTCAACTTCTTGATTAATAAACCACTTAGTCTGCTCTGGGTCATGACAATATACAAGTCTCAAAATAAAATGTGATATATGGTCTTTCATTCTGGTCTGTGCGTGTTCCTCTGATTGTGGGTTGGACCCATCAGCATATAAAAGATTTGCATAATACTTCAGTCCATCAGATTTCAAAGAATCACATAGAGCTTTCTTGCGATCTTCTAATGTTTTCAGGTCTCCTCTGCAATTTGTCGTCTCTATCAATCGTAATGCTACAATGAAGTTACAATTACAAAGTATTATAATGAACCTTATTTATTTATATACTTGATATATATATATATATATATATATATATATATATATTATATATTAAGTATATACTTAGTATATATATATTCAGTATGTACTTAGCATATATATTAATTATATATTTAGCATATTATATATTTAGTACAGTATATGTTGTATATATATTCATGATATATTTAGTATATAAGTATAATAATTATTATTTAGTATATATGCATATATATTCATATATACTTAGTATATAATAAATTACATGTCTAATGTAGTAGTATATGAATTTAAAGACTATATAAAATATAGAATACCTTTCAACCTATCAAATCCCAATTCTTGGAAATCCTCCAATGACATTTCACCCATTGGTGGCACATCATACATCTGAATGTCATGAGTATAATAATCTTTGAAATCATTTGCTTCCAAAACAGTAGTGTGACGTCGACGTGCTTTGTAATCCATCTCACTGGTTATAATAAGTTCCGGCCTAACCGCCGTTACGTTTGGACATGAACACCTTCGGATCTAATTTTTTTTGGAATTTGTACTTCGGTACCTCGGTTGAAAGGGCTAATAAGAAAGCATGAAAACCAAGTAAAATAAAGGGAAAGAAGGAAGGAAGGAAAGAAAGAAGGAAAGAAGATAGGTTATAACAATTACACAATACTCCTATGAGTGAACATGAATTGTTACAAACTGCAAGATAATATGAAACAGATAACTGTGATAGCGCAAATGCATTCGTTTACAACATTGCCTACACGTGACAAGTGACAGAAGATGTAAGAAACCAAGGTATCTATCAGAGCGCAATGATCACTTCGCGCGCTTTACACAGAAATGACGTTCGACCGATGAATCGATCTTTGATTCCCTTCGTTCGATAAATCATTACCTTATCGATATTTTCAAATTTGATTCAATTATTTATAACTTATCATTTTTTAATTAAATATCATTACATTTTATTATTAATTGTTACTTTAATTTATTAGTTTTAAATCATATTGGAAATAAATTGTTCATCTGACTTGTCGTTGATTTGCACTACGATCTCAATTCCTCATATAAGAAAGTGGCGTCTCGTAACGGAGATTTTAGAATTAATGCGTAACGTCCAATTAAAATTACAGGTCTAATGGAGGATTCACACCGCGTCTGATGTTCGATATACGATGTCCGATATCCAATAGGAGAACAGGTTTCCAATGGAGAATTGAATTCTCTATTAGAAAGCTGTTCTCTTATTGGATATCGGACGTCATATGTCGGACATCGGACGCAGTGTGAATCCTGCATAAAGACTGGGCAGCGATCATGTAACTTTTTCTCTAGGGCGGAAACGTGAAAAGTTTCACGTGAACTCGTGATCACCAAACTCGACGAAGCGTAGAAACGTGAAACTTTTCACGTGAATTTGTTAGCAATAAAATGGACTGGCGGAAAAGTGAAAATATAGGGAAATAGAATGCACGTAATGTAGCCTGTTTACTTCTGCAAAATATTCCTATGTATGTGATGTGTGAATAGTGGGTGGCTTTCCAATTGCAATATTCCTAGATACTTTCATGCACACGGCGACACAAGTTGCATTCCAATTGTCGTAATTGTCGACACAACGGGTGTTTATAACAAGCGGTTCGGATTTCTAAATGGATCACGCATCCAACGATTTGGACGATAAAATGTTTCCATTTTTGTTCCGTTCCGTAATAGTTCGGTGCCATGTGAAACCCACCTATCAAACTACGGAACGGAATGAAAACGGAATTACTCTGATTGGCTGACCCTCAGCATATCTCTTTTCCGTAACTGTTCCGTTATGTTATTGCTTTCTCCATTTGAACGCACCCTAACCAATTATAACGTTTCACGCATGTGTTTACTCTTGACGTCGAGTACTGTCAAATCGATTTTTTTATGAATTTTCGGAGAACGAATGATTTTATGAGTCTCATACTCTAGAACTATAATTCTTAAGCCTAGGACATCTCAGAACAAAAAGATCTCGGTTGAAACAAGAAAGATAGTATAAGTTTACTCTTGGTCCAATAGACTGTTTGTCAAAAAATTTTCTTTAATTTTTCGGGCTTATAAACTTATTGATTTGTGCTTTTGGAACAATGTTTGGAACAACTAGAACAATCCATATCGGTATCGGAATGTTTTATTTTCAAAAAATGGAGTGCCAGGTCAAAAACATTTTTTTCATTTTTTGGACTTATAATTCAACTTACGGATTTGTCCTTTTGGAACAATGTTTGGAACAACTAGAACAATCTATTGCGGTATCAGAATGTTCGATTTTCGAAAAGTGAGGTGCCAGCTCAAAAAATCATTTTTTTTGTTTTATTCGAAAACCGTTTCGAATGAAGCAATATCACTTTGGAACAATGTGGTACAAAGTCAGAACAATCTGGAACAACTTTCAAAATTATAAATTTCAAAAAGTGGGGTGCCAACTTTATACACTTGAACGCTATGGCCCTTATTCTCAACTTCCTTTTGTTGATAAAAGTGTCCCTTAAAAGTGGCTTGTAGCCAATCGGAAAGCTTATGAGCTACTTTCACACGAGTGCTTTTATAAAAAAAAAAAGAGAGCTCAAAATGAAGATCTACGAAGATAAAAGCAAAATTGCACGTAGAGATGAGTTTTCGTACACGAATTTTCGTTTTGCATATATACAGCTTTCATTTTCAACTATTCCCACCCGTAGTTTGAGTGGCGTAATTAATACGCACTTAGATTTGTTCACACGTCGTATATTATTTTTTCTCCCCAGAAGTAATTTCACTCCCATTGAAATTTAATTTGTCGTCTTATCAACAACAAACGCGTATGCATAAGAAAATATCTCCGAAGAGATAGTATGTCGTATATAATACGACATAATAAGTTGTAAAGAATAATTACCATCAGGTATATATAGAGCATATATAGAGTATATATAAAACATATATAGAGCATAAAACAAGCATACAAGCTATATATAGAGCATATAACATACAGAACATATAAACATGACATGTCAAAATATATCAGTTTAATGTATCATGAAGAAATAATCCGACGAGAAGCAAGCTTGCCGAGTCGAAATTTCAATTGGCCATTGTTATGCAAAAATGATCCAATTTAGAAAATTATAAGTTTTTATCAATGGATACTCCATTCACATCTTCTTAAACCAAACAAAAAAAATTCAAGTCTTACAGATGCTTGAAATGAGTTAAGAAACAGTTTTTTTTATTTTTTTAGCAGTCACGTCTTTTTGCACATTTTTTAAAGGATTGAGCTAGTTAGTACTCTTAAAGAAATGGAAATGCTTGACTCGTTGAACTATTGTGAAAATCTCATAAACACGTGACGTACATCACTTGACTGATATTGATATAAAACCTTTACAAAGTGATCAAGTCTTATCTCTAGATCATTGTTTGGTATGTTTTTTAACTAGACAATGCCTAGATTCGTCAGGATTCCGGTGAATAGTTCCAGGTCTAAGGCTCTGCTGCCCCAAATAGTCTGCTTCGACTTCGTCTGGCCTTCGTGGATCGACTCGCAATGTCCACAAGAACCAAAATGTACAAAGAAATAGAAAAACACAGAAATAGGTAAACAAATACCTGGATAACGGCTCTAACAAAAACTCTAGGCGCCACAAAGGCTGGGTAAACCGATCGTCGTAACAGCCGCTCGAGCCGTTGACTGAGCGGCGTCGGGGGGGGGGGGGGGGCCCCGGGGG